GACGTCCAGAGGATATCACAAGATATGAACAGTGGACAGTGTCAAGGTGATACAGACATAATTATTCCACAACACAAACAATCAATGATTTATAAAGGTAAATCAGGAAAATTAACAAGGGTGCCCAAACTTTTTCATGACTGTAGGATATGCCCTTTTCCATACAAAAGCTCAGTCTCCAATAATAACTGATCACAGAAACATGCAAACCCAACTTCATGGCTCGTGTATAAATGTCTTTACATCTACTGGTCTGCTGGTGATCAGTAATGTTAGACTAGTGGTTTTTAAATGAATTTAAATGATTTTTAGCTATCTAAATGGGATGGGATATTGCTCAATACAGATATGAACTTCCTTAATGTGCCAATAATTACTAACATTATTGGTCACACCAAATGGTTGAAAGCCAGATTTCTTTCTCACCCTTTTCTTAGATTAACTAACAGTAAGGAGAACAATTTATTCACTTATTCTTTGTTTAAAAATACCCCACACACAAAAATAAGACGTTAACATTTATCATAGTTAATAAAGTTTGCCAATCAAACAGTTAAAATAAACATTGGCTTGTCAATTTATAATGATTAAGGCAGCATGTCGATAAGTGTGGCATGTTCAGCCTATCTAACACAAGTGTTGTGTGTATCACATCAAAAGACCTTTATTTATTACTGGAAAATCTTTTAATTAAAAATATCTTGTGGTTTTGCAAATCATTTTGTCAGTAAATTATCTATTAATGAAAAGAGAAGTGTGACTCAGTGTGTGACTGACAAATGAAAGACGATAAAAGAATAAAAACTGAAATGGATGGCTGTAATTATTGGTTAGTCTTACCGGTGTATTGGCCCTCCTTATCCTTGCGGCTCTTGGTGAGTGAGCAGTACGGACGTCGCTCCTTCACTTCCATGATGATTCTGTTGATGCTGCTGGCAAACATGCAGACATGCTGTTCTACAGCTGCACAGACACAAACACAGAAAGATAAGAAAATAATGTGAGTGTGAGAGGAAGACAGAAGATGACTCTACCTAAAAATGTTCCACACTGAAAAAATTATTTGCAATATTTGCTTGAAAAAATCCTCATAACAATTTGCACTTACTTTTGTTAAGTAAATTTAAATGCTACAAATTCATGTTATATTTACTCATCATTATCTAGTAAAAC